ATGCTGCATACGTATGCACCACACGGCTGGGTGCCATGAAGGCCTCTCGCGGCTCGACAGTGGCGCTACCACCCAACTATGGCCGCTCCAACAGGCTGGTTAGCTGGCCGGTGTTCGCCGATGCAACAGAGCCGGCGGCCACGTCGGCTCAAAAACAGTCGTCTATGGACGGCACCAGACGGACTCAGCACGTCCTCACCAAGCTAGACGAGCTCAGCACGTCCGTTCACCGCACCAGACGGGCTCAGCACGTCCGTTCAACGCACCAGACGGGCTCAACACGCTCGTTCACCGCGCCAGACAGGTTCAGCACGTCCGCTTGTCGCACCAGACGGGCTCAGTACGTCCACTCACCAAGCTAGACGAGCTCAGCACGTCCGTTCACCGTACCAGACGGACTCAACACGTCCGTTTACCGCATCAGACGGGCTCAGCACGTCCGTTTACCGCGTCAGACGGGCTCAACACGTCCGCTCACCGCGCCAGACAGGTTCAGCACGTCCGCTTGTCGCACCAGACGGGCTCAGCACGTCCGTTCACCGTACCAGACGGACTCAGCACGTCCGTTTACCGCATCAGACGGGCTTTGCACGTCCGTTTACCGCATCAGACGGGCTCAGCACGTCCGTTTACCGCGTCAGACGGGCTCAACACGTCCGCTCACCGCGCGAAATAGGTTCAGCACGTCCCCTTGACGCACCAGACGGGCTCAGCACGTCCGCTCACCGCACCAGACGGGCTCAGCAAGTCCGCTCACCGCACCAGACGGGCTCGGCACGTTTGTTCACCACGTCACATTGTCCCTAGCAACGTCCTTAACAACGTGAAAGCACGTCCCGAAATCGTACAAATTCAATGTACTGCGACGGCAATCACCGTCGTTTACTTGCTGAAGCGCCGATCCATCAAACTGACCGGTCCAGCTTGACCTAAACAACGCCCAGACTAGATGCAACCGGCTACAACCTGCGACAGTCCGCCATTGCGCAGAACAGCACACGACGCTGACCAGCCCCTGCTCGCCCGCCACAACTACGCCGCTTCACCACCCGTCCAGTGCTCATACACCTACTGTCCTTCATTTACCCTCCCAACTGCAGTTTGTGGCACGACCCGTGCTCATATGCCAACCACTCGCTTTTGGCACAGTACCAACTCAGTTTTTTTTTTAGCTATCCCAGCATGATTTCCGAGATGATACGGCTTTCTCCACTGCTTAGGCACTGCTGGTTTGTTGTATTTACAATCTTTCACGAGCACCACATGCGAGCCTGCAGGCTCAGCTCCGTTTCTCTGCTCGTCCCAAAAGCCACGCTTAGTGTCTCTCAAAGCCACGCTCAACGTCTCTCAAAGCCGCGCTCAACTTCTCTCAAAGCCGCGCTCAATGTCTCTCAAAGCCACACACAACGTCTCTCAAAGCCGCGCTCAACGTCTCTCAAAGTCGCGCTCAACGTACGTACACCGCGCCCACCAAGTGGCTCCGCCGCATCTGCTGAGACGGAGGAAAGCTGGTCTCTGTCCACTGACATAATGAGGCAGGTCTGACAACATCACGTTCTTTCCGCGCCTAATTTTTCTGCTAGGTCCGGTCAGGTCCCGTCCAGTCCCGTCTGGCTGAGCCGTCGTGTCCCGTGTGTCGACGATGGCGCCAGTAACACAGGCCTGGCCCATTGATACGCCCGCGGGCCCCTCTATCGGCAGGCGACACTGGCCCCGCCATCGACACACCCGCGAGGCTCCTCCATCGGCAAGCGACACAGGTCCAGCCCATCAACACACTCGTGGGGCTCCTCTATCGGCAGGCGACACAGGCTCGGCCCATCGACACACCCGTCGGGCCCCTCTCGCGGGTCTCCTCCATCGGCAGGCGCGCTCGTATGCCCTGTTTTTATACCGGACGGCATGCGCATGCACATTTGAAAAATATTCTTGCGTCAAAATACATTATTGCCATCAAAGAAGGTCCTCAGTATTGACGTATGTGAAATACAAGTGAGTCACGCATGCACGCAGCATTTTCTATGGTCCCATCGACATTTCAAACCTTTTTACGTTTGGGTTGAATGGTATGTTAGCGGCCAACGAAGCTAACCTCTCCGAAATGACCAGAAAACGTTGCCCCTGTCTTACACGGCTTCAGGCTAAACCGGGTCCAGTTGAAACAAACAAACAAAAAAAAACCGAGAGACTCAGTGCACATCCCAGACAGAAACAGTACCCAACGTTTTGCACCAGCCAGTGTCTAGATAAGACTAGACTAATTAGGGCCCATGGGACCTGTAGAGCACGACACGGAGCGCCTGCTTTCGATCACACCCGAGCAGGACTCATTCCCCAACCGCGCGGCGCTTGCACTAGCTCCGCTCCACCACGGCAGGGAGCATGCCGCGGCGGACTGAAATTTCGCCGAAGTCTACAGTGCACACGCCTTCAAGGCTGAGTACCGCCAGGCGGCTTTGGCTGGAAATAAGCAATGGCTGCGGTCGACATCCACCAGCGAACGTTAATTCCTAAACGGCTGCAGCCGACCGAATGCGACAACAGGGCAAGCTGCCGATACAGAGGTCAGCGGTACATTAGGGGCTTGGCGAACCATACAGGCTGTTAGGATGGTAGTTAGATTTGTAAAGTGAATGTGAGAGGAGGCAGTATTCTAACTATATCGAGAACACCGGATAACTCTCAGTGAAGATTCTCACAGACTGAGGCGCGAGAAAGCAAAACATGCCAGCAAATGGTTTTCCGGTGTACCTGCTGCGAAGAAAACAAGGAGTCGAAGATACTAAAACCGACCAAATCGGTCGGTAACTTGCTTTAAATTAAGTTCTGGCAAGTTAAAGCCTCGCTCACCGCGATCGCTGGCCGGCCGCACCAACGGTCGAGTGCCCGTGGAGAGACAGAGCAGCTGTCGGGATAGAGACAAGCGTGTGTCGAGCGATGCCTGTTCCTGTAACCATTGTTAGAAAGGCTGTGTCAATGAACTGATCCCTCGCTGACTGTGGTGATGGACTCCGCCATACAGCGTTCCACTACACCATGCAAGTACGCATCCCACCGATGTTGGACTCAACCACACCACGCAATTACACCTCCACCGAAATGTGAACCGGCGTTCACGTAATGACGCGAGAATGCGGGCATAAGCCAAGACAGGCAACATCCCACACGTCTGCCGCGTTGGACGCACGCGTGGACACCTGGCGCACTTCACTCTCGTCAGAAGGTGCTGTGTCAGGAAATCAACGTCACCATGATCATTAATCTGTCATTGACCTGAGTCTAGTTTGACCTCCTCTGACATAAATCCCAGCAATTACGTCATAATTATGGAATAATGTGCATGGTTTAGGTGTCGTCTGGCCAAATGTTGATCATCGACAAAAGTGTCACAACTCTGGGCTTGAAATGCAAAAAAAAAAAACAGGAGCTAAAGGTCTGTCTTGATTATATCGAACACAACTCTACCATCAACAGCCTCACTAAAGAAATAACCCAATTTGCAATTTGCGCCACAAACCGGGACGAGTTGAAGAATAAATCGTGTTCCCGATCAACTGCCGACGACGTAAACTTTTTCTCCGAGTTTACATTGTTCTGATGTTAGGATGTGAAAGCTCAAATGATTTACTGGTTTTCAAATATTCTGATCGATAGTGTCTGCAAAGACTCAGGCCCTTTTCTGGATTCACGTGTCTTGGTTTTCAAGCGCATTTTTTGCTTAACCTTGCTTAGTACTTTCCGCACGTGATCAGTGACACAGCTTGAAACGTCCAGTGCTGTCAAAGCAACCAATGTTTGCCCTATAATGTCGTTCAACCGGTACCTCCTGGCGTACTGAAGTTTAATAACTTGGCATAACTACGGACACCTGACGCCTCAAACGTCAAACACAACGAAATGGGGTCTCTTCCTCGAAAACCATGGCACCACCCGATGTCCGGCCCCCCCCCCCCCCCCTCCCGCCCCATCATGTCCCACATGACGTCCCACAGTCTCTACACTGGACGGCTGCATGCCGGTCTGAGCTTCGGGAGCTTCCCTGCGTGATCGGCACCGGCCGTTGTCATTCACGGCCTGGCCGCCGGGGCCCCGCCCCCGATGCCGACAGCGGCTCAACGCGATTATACGTGCTCCCGACCCAGGGGGGCGGCACGTGACCGGCACTACCAGAGAGGAAAGGCCGGACCCGGCAAACTCCGGCGCACCACAGTCAAGGTATCAGCGGAAAAGTCCGTCAGTTCGGTAAATTTCAATTCCCCAACTTCAAAGTGGTAAATTCGGTAGAGGACGGGAAATTCGGCATCACGGCAATCAGGGTCGACCCAGGGTCAATTTAAGCCCACGACAGCCGGGGACGATCGTAGGTCAGCTTTGGCTCGCTGCAGCGAAGGCCGACAACGGTCAACGAGGTCACACGGAAGTCTTGCGGGCCGGTGCGCCATGACCTGCTTGAGTAATATGCACAGTAATGTATGCAGTAATATGTCCAGTTAATATATGCAGCCGGTCCCGCGGCACTGCTCATTGGAGCTTATGGGAGTCGGGAAAAGACGGCCCATGGCTGGGGTGGCTGGTACACATGGGGTGGTATGGGGTGGCATGGGGTGGCCGGTACACCCCGCTCACGCCGTTTGGAGAGCGAGGGGCGATGGCATGGATGACTGACATGACGGCGATGATGATGATGATGATGATGATGATGGTGATGATGATGATGGTGATGATGATGATGACGACGACGACGACGACGACGACGACGACGACGACGACGACGACGACGACGACGACGACGACTGACTGACTGACTTATCTCGCTCACACACTTCGGGGAGTGGAGTCGGATGGGATGATGCGCCAGTCCGAACGAAGTCAGGCACCATGGAGCGTGAGGGACTACCGCTGATGCTCGGCGGACTCGACATGAAGGAGAAAGATCGCAGCAGCTTCAAGCTGCGCGCTGCCTGCTCCTGATTTATTGACCTGTATTCGACCGAAACGCAATGGTGCCGACACCCGGTGACGTCGAGACGCTCTCCGCCTGCCAGCCGGAGTCCAGCCGTTAGTCAACCTGCCGGACTGACAGCGACCCAACTGCTAGCTCAACGCCTTTACAACACACCGGCAAATATAAGAGCCGGCGCGGGCTATCTTGGTGCAGATAATCATGTCGAACGTCCCGGTTTTTGGCACGGCCGGGCGGAGGCAGCGCTACTGCGCAGCGGGCGCAGCGCGGCCCGGCCCTGTCTGATCCGCTGGAAGAGTACCAAGGACCGCTGCGGCGCCGCCTCAGCCCGGACACCCGGGCCGTGCCGGCGCGACGAGCGTGCCCGCCGCCACGCCACTGCGCTGATTGGCCGGGCCCGGGCGGTGACCTCAGCCGCCGCCCGGGGCGAGGTCAGGGGGCACCGTCGCCCAGACAGCGGCGCCGACGGGCCGCTGGGAGCACATCTGTTGCCTCCAGCACATACGGCGCGGCGGGGGGAGGGTCCAAAGACGCGACCCCGGCCGTCGAGCAAACACACCCGACTGTCGGCCATCCGGACGCCGCGATCAGGGGCGGCGAATCCCGACCGCGGTGGCCTCGGCTTCCCGCGGGGTTCAGCTGAGCGGCGCCACATGCAGCCTCAGTCTTCACAGGCGCTGCCTCCGCAGGCTGCGGACGACAGGCTGGACGCGTGAGCTGCTGTTGGAGCGGAGCAGCTCCGCCGGAGAACTGCGACGCTGAGATGAAGGTGCTGCAGCTTGTTGCGCGAGTTTAATGTGGGCATGGGAGACACCCGAAAAGTTGCTGTCACGCAAGCCTAACCACCACCAAAGTCCTATAAGCATAGGTGCATTTACATTGCGTTTCACTTTCTGCAGTAAACCATGTCCCAGCTAACTTTACATGACCTGAGATATTATGTCTCCTCCGCATGACTTAAAAGGACGACCCTCTTTAAAATGCCAACGGCTTATCACAGACCACAAACAAATAAAATTGCAAGCATTGCTGCGTCATTTGTTTATGCATTGGCACATTCATGTCATTCACACCGCATAACTTCAACCATGCTATAGCTTAAAACAATAGACTGACCGGCGGGCTGACGGGCTTTGCTAAATAGGTGTAACGGCGGATCATGCCATTTTGAGCATTATCATAGATGAGATAAATGGTCTTATACTCATAACTAATATTAAACGAACGAAAAGAGTCACGTGCCTTCGCTAGTGGCCACTTTCAGCGGTTTTGGGCCTATGAAGAAGCCTGTTTAGAAGCGCACATGCTATATTCATCCCCTCGACTGGTCTCGCCCAGTTACAAGCATAAGGCCATTCCAATTAAAATCATGCGATAGTTAAGTTTGAGTTATTGGTAGTACCCATTCTCAGCCCTCTCCTCTGTCACATCGTTTGGTGAGAACGTGATCCCATCTACGATGAGGTAGGCGTTTACTCGTCTGCCAATTGCCTTTCTTCAAATACACCCGCCTTTGTATCGCGTTTCTTCGTGCAAGCATTCACTCGTATCGCAATTCTTCGCATTACATTTCTTCGCGAGTGCTATTCTTCTTGTCACACTGCGAGCAAAACCCAAAGGTTTGTCACAGCAAGCCTAGTTTACCGCGCCGCAATGGCGCGAAATTTGCCAAAAGACGAAAAAATTGCATACAAGTCCCAGCGAACTACTTATTTTTATGTATCTGCTACGAATTTCTTAGTATCAACACCTATACATGCACTTATGAGTAGATGATATAAATTTGATACGGTCACGTTAACGTCCTTGGTCGCGTTAGCATGTCTCTTCGATGTGGCTTTGCTTCCTGAAGAAGATCCGTCTGTGATGTGGGCAAAGAAAAAACGATTTTGTTACAAAATCGAAGCAGTCTCAAGTCATGGATAGGAAATCAGATGAGTCCCATTGAGGTTTAAAGATCAGCGTTTTTACACTGTCCTGGACGATTAAGGTTGGGGTGATGTGAAATAGGAAGGCAGGAGCAAACCTTGCAGGCTGTTTGGTTTAACCTTGCTCCATACGCTTCAGAGAGTCGAAGAAAGGGGGCAGAGCTGACACGAGCCACCAAGTACAAGGAAGGGGTAATTGCCCGTCTCTTGGCTTGCAAGTTCGGGATTAGCTAGAAGGACGTGCACAGAATCTGGTTAGAAGAAGGCAGCAAGTGCGTGAGAAGGGTGGACATATTGTTCATCATCACAGAGCAGTCCCAAGATACCGTGTGGGGCTGAAGCCCCATTTACATACAATTTTGTGTTGCTAAATGGACCGTGGTGGCGTCTGATCTTCTAGAAGTCGTCAGTTGTTTGTTTCTAGATGAAGCTGTGTCAAAACCAATGCGATACCTTTGTTCAATATTTCATTCCTTGAATACAGATATCACGGCATGGAATAGTGACATAAGTTCAACAATGATTACAACAAGAGAACTGTAAGCATAAGCACAAGGTCTCGTTTAGTGACGTTCGGGGCACCTGGCTCCACAACAGACGCGAGGCCGGTTTCCATATCCGTGCTAAGCCACGGGAGCTTCACATATGGGCGAGTATCTGCCCAAACGGGGTAGCGTGACGTACCGCCGTCACCGAGGTCTCGCACCACCAGTAGAATATAGGATTACTGCATAATCTGTCAGACGTATGCCCCAATGGTGAATGTGTGTTCTGGTCGTACCTGACAGCCGCACGTTGTGCCGCTCAACGCTCAGGCTGTGGAAGGAGTCTAGGAGTCCACGACGTGGTGCGTGCAGAAAACTTCCCAATTGTGCCCCAGTTCCGGGCGACCGAGGATGTTTGGGGTTCGGCCACACAGGACCGAGGATGTTTGGGGTTCGGCCACACAGGACCGAGGATGTTTGGGGTTCGGCCACACAGGACCGAGGATGTTTGAGGTTCGGCCACACAGGGCGGGTGCAGAGTCTACTAGGAGGTTCGAGAACCAGCTGAAGCGCCGTGTTCGCGTGTGCTGGCTTCCCTTGACGAGAAAGCGCTCGCGGCAGGTGGTGGGTGGGAGAGCGCGTACATGGTGCAGCACTGCATGCACCATGCAATCATGTGCAACCATGTCCATCACTAGTGTGTCGCACTTCACAATGCTCCTATAAACGTGAATGCGATGCTTCAGTGATGACCTCAAGAAGTATAATGCAATTCTTTGTCGTTGGAACATTGCCAAAAAAGATCACGCCCTCCACACCGTTGCGTTGCTCGTTATCGCTTTCCCTTTATTCCCCCGTTTCTTCAATATAATTTGCCGTCTTGGCTGAGAGGGGTACTCTATCATTCAAACTAGTATATCATAATGTCCAGCCTCTTCACATGACCCTGCGAAGCTGACGCATGACCTGAGTCCCTTGTAATGCCTGTTGCCCGTCCTATAGTTCAGTTGGTAAAATGTCATACAATCGGGACATTCTGTAATACATGTTGAGATCGCGCCCCCGAAACAGCACGATCTAAACGTACGATTGCTGCATTTATAGTCGACTGAAAACTGAGTTCCCGATCTTATGAGACTGAAAATCCTGGCTTCTTACCCAATGCTCCATCGGTGGACTTGAGAGCCACACCAAACTTATGCGCAAACTTACTCTCTACCTGATTAAGCGCGTTCGGACGATCCCACCAGAAACTTGCAGGTTGGATTAATTGCAGCGGAAACAACGAGACGTACGAAACAGTGGGACGTGAATTGTTGTGCATACCAAGAAGTGCGCCACGACAAAATGCGTATGCTAAAATGCGCTACCAAAAATTGCGCGTTCTTAGAAATGCGGTACGAAGAATAGCATGTGCCGATGCAAAGTCTTGCATTACGATGGCTTGCTCTTACGAGGCATTTGTTTACGAAGACGCACACTTCGAAGGTTAAGTATTGTATGTCACTAAGAAGCGTGATACAAAGGCCTGTCCAAGAGCCCGCGAACCCATGTCTGGTTCTAGCCACCACTCATTCACCGCGAACGTCCCGTCCTTCGAGCATTCATCGTGTTCTGGCTCATTACATGCCCACCATAGGAGAGCTAAAAATAGCCGAGGAGTATCCGTTTTGAGACTCGCTCAGCTGCGCGGGTAAACCTGGTCCGGGCAATCCATGCGTAGGCGTCGGCTAGCTCGAACAGAACATGACGTGCGTGAAGCGCATGAGGTGCCATAAGCCTACCCAAGCGGTCCGGTGGTGGCGCACCCGCGTAGTTCGGCCTGAAGCCAAACCTCCGCCCAGCACGCGACGCTGGAGGCAATGGCCTCCGCCGCGTCATGTCTGCCGCACACTGCTGTCGGCGTCCAGCGGAGCTAATTCGGCCAATGCCAAACATGTGGTTGTTAATGTGCCCACATCAGATGAGGTTCGGGCTACAGTGCTACCACACAGACGCTAGCATGATAAGTTTGTATGCTTCACGCGATTAACTGCTTCGTGCGGCCTTTTTGGGGATGTACATATATATATATATATATATATATATATATATATATATATATATATATGTTATTTAATGAGAATGATGACGGATACAAATGCACAGAAATTTTTGCTGCTTTCATGCAGACATCATGATCAAGATGTTGATTTTGCTTCAATGCTGGTGCCAAACTGATGCGATCGACTGCCCGGAGGTCAAGATCGAGACCCATGGCCGCACTACCAGCGGTCTCCGAATGACAAATAAAAAACAGCTTCCGTGACTCAGAGCAGCCCGAGTCCAATATGTCACGCGCGCACGCAGGCCACATCTCGACATTGATCACCTACCTCGGTGAGTCTCATGATAATATTGTGGGAGGCCCGTACGTGAAGGATGCCTATGTGAAGTTCGGAAGATCTAGTCTCTTAGACTGGCCGTTCAGACGCGCCAAACTGTACTGTGCTGCAACGCAGTATGAACATGCCGTACGTCCCGTGCGCCAAGCTCTGAGGGTAAGCTCAACACAACCTGTTCTGTCCAGTTTGTCTCCTCAGCCCGGAACAGCCCGGAATGCCAGCATGTTGCACAATAAATTATTTGGTTTTCTTAAATACATTTATGGAGCAGCAGAAAAAAGAAGTAGAGAATTTAACA